TTATAAAGAAGTAGCAAAGGAATTTCTATTGAAGGCTTCTGTGGACTTATATTATTATTTCTCTTGGAATTTATGGGTTTATGCCATTCTGTCTCTGTCTCTTTTTTTCTTGTATTGGCTTCCTAGTGATTATTTTATTCCAAAAATTACAAGATGTATTAGGAAGAATATTCTCTTTCTAAACAGTGTTAGAGTACTTTACTTAAGTACTCATATATGATAAATTTTGTGTTTTTTCCCAGTTTTTTATGTGATAAAAGATAAATATCATTAAATTTACTGCCTTAAACATTTTTGATTGTACAGTTCGAAGATACTAAGTATATTCACATTATCGTGGAAATAGCACCCCACCCATTCATCTTCAGAATTCTGCATCTTGCAAAACTAAAATTCTGTACAATTAAACAAATCCCCATTCCCTCTCCTCATCGTCCCTGGCAACCACCATTCTTTCTGTCTTAATAATTTTTTACTATTATAAATAGTTCATATAAATGGAATCACACAGTATATTTCTGGATTATTTTGCTTAGAATAATGTCCTCAAAGTAGGTCAATGTGATTGTGTGTGTCAGAATTTCTGATATCTTAAGAGTTCAATAATATTCCATATAGCTGCATTTTGCTCATGCATTTATCTGTTGATGGATACTTGTGTTGCTTTCACATTTTAATAATGCCGCTGTGAATATGGCATATAATATTTCTTCAATATTCATCTTTCAATTATTTTGGGTATATTCCCAGAAGTAGAGTTGTTGGATCATTCCGTATTTTTCTTTTTAAAGAAAAACCACCATACTGTTTTTTAAAGACCACCATACTCTTTCCTTCAGCAGTTGTGTAATTTTACATTCTCATCAACAATGCACAGTTTCTCCACATTCTGACCAGAAGTTGTTTTTTTTCTGATTTAAAAAAAATAGTTTTAATTTTTTAATAACAGTCATCCTGATGGGCAGGAGGTGGTATTTCATTTGATTCCTTGAGTTATTGACCATCTAGGATTTCTTCAAAATTATTACTCATCTCCCTTAATCAGTGTTTCAGGACTGAGTCTGAATACTTACATATTTACCTTAATATGTCTCTTTATTAGCTACTTAGTGTCTCTAGGCCTCTGTTTTACCATGTTCAAAATGAATATAACATGAATATAACAGTGCATTTTTGCATTGAGTTGTTCTGGGAGTTAAGTTAGATAATTTATGTTAAAAACTTACTACAGTAATGGGGACATAGTAAGGCCTTAATGAATGTTGGTTGTTATTATTTTATTGCTGGGATTTCTGTTATTGCTCTTGTGTCTTCAAATAATTTTTGTGCTTTTTGTTTGGGGGTACTAATTATCCCTAGAATTAGTGCTCCCTCTTGGCACCAGTGGAAGGGTTTTTATTTCTCACATGGTTCACTGACTATATGCTCAATAATCCCAGGGGTACCAAACACTTGTCTTCAGAGGAAGGAAGCTGATGGCTTCTCAGTCTCTAGATATAAGGGTTCTGTACAGGAAGGAGCAGTGAGACCCCTCTCATGCCAACATAATTAGTCACTAACCTTCTCTTTTTATATCATTATTACTCTCTGAGTAAGCAAATTTTTTTTTAGCTCTTCTTTATCACTTTCACAGTCTATCAGATGATACTGTGATGTAGTAGGTAAGTTTCAGAGCATTGTAGTGGCAGAAGAGATTGGTGGGAGAGGAGAGAGAAAGGGGTGTGTTTGTGTGTGTGTATTTAATAGCATATGTAAAGGAAAGAGCCTGAGCCTGGGACAGAGGAAATGGATATGGGGGGAAAGGGGTCAAAGGATGAGAGAAGGATTATAGCATAACATGCCATGGGGTGGGGGGTGTGGGTATTGGGAGAGACACAAGTGGAACTAGGTAGACACTGATAGAAATAAAAATGAGAATATAGAGAAGTGCTGGGAAAAGCACCTGAAGAAGTGGAAGAAAAGACTGTTTGTTTGCAGGTTTGAGGGAAGTTTATAGACCCATCAGAATCACACTGTACCAGGGAAGGGGAATATCAGTGGGAACTATTCATAAAATGGTTCAGAATTTGATCACTATCTTGTATTTAATGAAGCAATGAAATCTCCTGAAGAAAGATTAACTCACTTATTCCATGGATTATTTGATCAAATATTTTTAAAAATATCTATAATGTGCCGGGCTCTGCTTAGTGCTAGGAAATTTTTAGTCACAAAGTGAGGAGCACTCTTGAAAAAATTTTTCTTGGTAATCTGGGGTAAGGCGTTTCTAAACCTGAAAGATCTTCCTCATTCTATTTTCTGTCCTTCATTTTGCAGAAGAAATACAGACATTGAGTGAGGAAGTGGTTATGCATGGATTATAGTATATGATGTTTACATATGACACACTACCATATGATTTCTCAAGTTGGAAAAAAATCCCTAAAATGTTTATTGGGAGTAAAAAAAAAAAAAGGGTAGGTGGGCATTTTTCTTGAGGCATTTGTTCATTAAAAACATGAGCCATGGTGGTTACTGGAGCCTGGGATCAGGTAGGTGTTTGGAGAGATGTTGGTTAAAACATGCAGTATTTCATTTAGGCAGCAGAAATAAATTCAAGAGATCCATTGTACATCAATATATTCTATACTTAAAATTTCTGTGAGTAGATTTTAGGTGTTCTCACCACAAAATAAGTGTCTGAAGCAATACACCTTAGTTAGCTTTATTTAGCCATACCACATACAGTGTACTATACATGTATCAACATATGTTGTACGCATTAAATATATAAAATCTTTATTTTCTAATTAAAAATAAATAATTAAAAAGACCTGAGTCACTATTAAAGGGATGGCAGTGGAGTAAGGGAATCTCAGTGCCTCTTCAACATAGAAAAGATTAAAGCAAATCTAAAGCATTTGCTTTAGATTATGAAAGCATCTTATATGATGTTTTTAAGTGTCTGTGAGCAAGAGGGAGGTCATTAAAGTATAAATATAAATTTTCTTCATATATTAAAAGGTAAGCCATTTATAAATTTTAATATCATATTATGTGATGTATATAAATGTATGTAACACTGAACCCCATTAATATGTACAATTAATATTACTGAAAATGTTTAATAAAAGGAAACAAATTTCTTGTGACATAAAAACAAATCCTTCCATTTATTGCACCGCAGACAGAGACTATCCTTATGCCCAGAGGTGGGTAGGTAGCTGTTTTGTCCATTAGGTATATGCCTTCAGTGTAGAGAGTGTGCATTGTAGAGAACTTGAGTGGTGAAAAATTCTTGAGATCTGAAATACTTATGCAAGGAAATTGCAAAGTGAAATTAATACTTCTATAAACAGATGACTAGGTAATAAAAATAGGCAAAAAAGTAACTCAACTCCTTTATAGTTACTCCTTTATATCTGATGTGGTCTGTAGATAGGTACATTTAAATATGTTGTTATTCTTAATAGAGAATTTTAATAGACAGTCTTCTAAATTGGGGTTGAGTGAGGACTTTAAAAGCCTTTATATAGCTCCCTAAAGAGAAAATGAGTAATACCAAAAAATAGAGCTGGGTAGGTACTTAAAGGGAGAAAAGAAGACACTGGGAAGAAAAAGGGAAAGCAGAATCTAGTCAGAGGCTGCAGGAAGTGGCTCCATTGTTCCTTAGCCTAGACTGATTCTGGTAGTTTGCACTCTAGTTACTTGGTTGTAGAGCTGAAGCTATTCCTGTCACTTCGTGATGTCCCTTGGACTTCTATAAATGATAGAAATAGTTTCTCTTTTCTTCTTCTGAGACAGATGGGTGCTTTTTAGAGCACTTGAAGGAAATTCATTAGGTAGTTCTGAGCCAAGCTAAGTTCATCACTGGTGGACTTGCCTAGTGCTCCCTACAAAGCCCGTGAGTCTGAGTACAAGACACCAGTTCCATCTGAGAGATCTGGTATTGGGCTCCTTTTTTCTCTTTGGATACTTTTTCTATTCCCTTTATTCTTCTTTCCTCCTGGGAAAGGAGTTTTCTTTGATCATATTTGAGTGAAAAATAGGACTTTTTAATGTGGCTAAATAGTTATTAAGGTGTTTTGCATACCGGAAAAAATACAATAAGATGACGGCCAATTTAATAATAACAATAAACAATAATAACCATTTTTCTGACCTTATATATATATTGAATCATTTAATCCTCACAATTACCTCATGAAGTTTATTATTGCCACATTTTATAAATGAATTTGAAAAAAAATGGAGGCATGCAGAAATAAAGTGACTTGCCCAAGATCATCTAACTAGTCAGGAATGAACTGGAAAAAGAACTGGGTAAGCCTGGTTCTAGAACTTAATGTTCTCACCTACTGTGCTGTGTTCTCTCCCATTCACTATGGCTCCTGGCCTCTTCTCTACAATTCTGGCTCCTTTGTTTTCCTCACTCTATTGGAATTTCTCTTAGAGCTTTGGTACATACTTTCTGTAAACCTTTGGATGTGACTATTTATGCCTGTGTGGTTCCTTTTTTCTCAAACAAGAACCCTTTCTAGGTGTAGGTAGAGAAGCAGCATGGTTGAGATGGAGCCCTCAGAAGCCACTGAATAAAATGAATATTCTTTCCATAGGTAGTAGGCTTCTTTTCATAACTTCATTAATGGTATCCAGGACTCACTGCCCCTCTAACATGCTGCCTTGGGTATATAGTGTCTCTCACTGCTGGGGTAATATGATATATGAATTGTAAGCAGAAGGCAGGAATTGTTCTTATGAGGACTGTATCTGGTACCTTACTATTTTATTGAGAAGGGATATGTAAATAGTAGGGTTGGGAGTGATAGTGGGAAGGCAAATATCCAATAAATTTCCTTCTAAGGAAACTGAATTTGTTTTCTGGTGGGAATTTTGCTTATATAAATTTGAGATTAGGGCTGGGGATGTGGCTCAAGCGGTAGCGAGCTCGCCTGGCATGCGTGCGGCCCGGGTTCGATCCTCAGCACCACATACAAAAAAAAAACAACAAAGATGTTGTGTCCGCCAATAACTAAAAAATAAATATTAAAATTCTCTCTCCCTCTCTCTCTCTCTCTCTCACTCTCTCTTTAAAAAAAATTTGAGATCAACACTTTAATAAAATAGAAGCAGAGCAATGTTACCACTTATCTTTCTCTGTGCCTATCCCAGGAAACCTCAGCCTATCCTGTGAGTAGAAGTTAAACAAATATTTAAAATATATTGGCTTTAAAATATATTGGCTTGGAGGATGTCAAATTATTAGCTTTACTGGGGTCTTTACTTGTTGTAATCTGGCACTGCTCCTTTCCTTGTACCCACCTGAAGTACCATTGTTTCCTCCCAACAGCAAGTTATGTTTTAGTATATTTGCAGAGGCAGGAGGATAGACTTATAGATTGAGGTTTTTTTTTTTCATTTCTTTACATAACTTCTTCCCTGGTCCTCTCTGAATATCTTTATTAGAGAAACCAGCTAGAATTTATTTGATACCTTTATTCTGATTCTCTCCATACTCTCTCTATGCTCTTTTTCTTCATGTCTCCTTCTAGATGTCTAATAACTAATCCTTTCTGTAGTCTTAATAACTGATAGGTAGTTAGCTTCTGAAGGAAACAATTATTACCTGGTTGGAAGGCTAAAACAAGAAAGGCTCTGTAATTAACACTTTTTAGTAGCAGGGAAACCTGATTCTTTCTGGAGATTAGGGAAGAAGTGCATGGGAAGGAAGGCTGTGTTAATGGAGCCAGTAGAGGACGGGGCAGCAGTGTATTGATTGACTTTATTCAGAATTGTTTCCCCAGGAATCTTAGTTTTCTATGGGAAAGGAGATCAAGGATCACTTATATAGAACTGTCAGGGAAAGACCATGAAATATTCATAAGGAGTATCATGAAAATTGGCCCTCTTGGTTTCACTGGTATTGCTAGCTGCCTTTAGGGAAGATGTGAATCTCAGTCAGAACAGATAAATATATGTCTTAGGTTTCTTCTGAATTTTCACTTGGTACTCCATTTCCATGCACATGGAGCCACAGGTGCAAGTGTTCTATGAAATGTTCAAGGTAATAGCCAGATAAACTTAATATGATTAAATATAATCAAGTTAACATTTAGTTTAGCTAATAGGTCTTCAGGATGGAGATATATTATGAACATTTTACAAAGTGGTATATCTTAAGAGGAGGTATTTTAGCATAAAATTTGGGTAAAGACATAGAAGGGGAGGGAAATTCAGATAAACACAGAAAGAGTAAAATCTTGGGGGAAAAGGACAAGTATAAAATGGGTTGGGGACAACTAATAATGTGGAAAGGGAAAAATGGATGAAAGAAAAAAAAGATAGAATGGGGCCAACATCATGGGGCATGTGGTGATAGAAGGAAAGTGCAACCTTTATTGTTTCTTGAAACAATTTGCCATAGAAGATCTATATGCAAATGAAGCACCAAGGGCCAGAAGTCATTCCTATGCCAGTGAGTATTCTCTAGGAGAACTTGCTGAAGAGTATAGCAGTTGAGAAAATCATGATGTCTTCTAATCTCTGCACATACTCAGGGATGCTTTCTATTTCTGTCACTTTCAGCAGATACAAAAGCCACTATAGAAAGAACCATAATGTTTATCATGACTCACACCAACTTTACTATCTTCCATCCTGGAGTTTTTGTCTTACTCGGCATCCCTGGGTTGGAGGCTTATCACATTTGGTTGTCAATACCCCTTTGCCTCATGTATATCACTGCACTCCTGGGGAACAGCATGCTGATAGTGGTCATCATCACAGAACGTAATCTTCATGAGCCCATGTATTTCTTCCTGTCTATGTTGGCCATCACTGATATCCTGCTATCAACCACTACTGTACCCAAGGCCCTAGCCATCTTTTGGCTGCATGCTCATGACATTACCTTTGATGCCTGTGTCACCCAAGTCTTCTTTGTCCACACAATGTTTGTGGGGGAGTCGGCCATCTTGTTAGCCATGGCCTTTGACCGCTTTGTGGCCATATGTGCCCCTCTGAGATATACAACCGTGCTAACATGGCCTGCTGTAGGAAGGATTGCTGTGGCCATTGTCATTCGAAGCTTCTGCATCATCTTCCCAGTGATCTTCTTGCTAAAGCGACTACCCTTCTGTCAAACCAATATCATCCCCCATTCATACTGTGAGCATATTGGAGTGGCCCGCTTAGCCTGTGCTGACATTACTGTTAACATCTGGTATGGCTTCTCAGTGCCTATTGTCATGGTCATCTTCGATGTTATTCTCATTGCTGTGTCTTACTCACTGATCCTCCAAGCAGTATTTCGTTTGCCCTCCCAGGATGCTCGGCACAAGGCCCTCAGCACTTGTGGGTCTCACCTCTGTATCATCCTCATGTTTTATGTCCCATCATTCTTTACCTTATTGACCCACCGCTTTGGCCATAACATTCCACGACATGTCCATATACTGCTGGCCAATCTTTATGTAGTGGTGCCACCAATGCTCAACCCTATTGTCTATGGTGTGAAGACTAAGCAGATTAGGGAGAGTGTAATTCACTGGTTCTTTGGCATCAAGACTTGGTGCTGTGCCTCCCCTTTAGGCTGATGAGTCCCCAAGAATTTTCATGCCCAGCTCCTTCTAGGAAACTAGGTGTGAAATACACAGACTTCCTGTTTTTTTTCTTCCCACTTTTTAATCCTTTTACTTAACATACTACTCCTCCCCCAACTTTTCTTTTTTTCTCATCTAACTCTTCCTTTTTGCCTCCTTCTCCCTTTAACTTCATACATTCCTCCCTATAATCCAAAATGATCATTAAGTATACATACCTCTAATATGAACAATTGGTGTCTTCAATAGACTAGATATACTCTAGAAGCACAGGAAACTGAACATTCATTACATTAAGGTAGGTTTTAAACAAATGAATGAAAATAATTTTGTATTTAACATCTGAAAAAGTTCCAATTTTTTAAAATCCCCAAATGTGCATTGATTCTTCATACAGAAGGAAGTAGATTTCCACCCACTTATACAATGGAAGGTGTTTTTAAAAACAGCCGGGCATACCCTTCAGCCACCTGGAAAATTTCATCTCATTCTTCAAATCTTAATTTAAGAATTGCCTTCCCTATGAGGTCTTTTCTAATTAATTTCTCCAGGCAAGCTAAGGTTCTTAGCTTTGCCTGTCTAGTACATATTATACAAATCTCTAAATATGTACAGTATATTCTGATGGCTTGTTCCTTATTGTATCCTTAATTGACTGTAAACTCCTTGAAATTGGAAGCATGTGTGTTGTTCATATTTGTACCCTTAATACATCAAAATACCTCATAGATAATAAATGTTTGAAAAAGAATGAGAGTAATACAATTATCTCCCTGAATTCAGAACATGAATCTCTATGATGCATTGACATGATCAACTGACTTAGTCTACAAAAACTGTGATTAATAAACCAGGTCTTCCTGAAATAGTTTAGCAAGTCAGCTATCGATCTTCAGTACTGACTTTTCACACTATTGCTGTAATGTAGAGGGAGTAGACCAAGTAGGAGGAAGAAGGGTACTCTTAGTTCTCTCTTTCACCAGCGTCAGCATTAGGAATTATAGCACAGAGTTCCTGACCAGGTTAGCAAAACTTTAATATTGTCTTGGAGTTCACAGTCTTGACCCTCATTCTTTCATGCTTTTCTATTAAAGGTCATGCACATTCATTTCTTCAGCCACCACCCACACTAATGAGTCCTTCATCTCTCCTTCTCTAGTGTAGAACTTTTTTTAAATTTTTTTTTTAAATTTTAGACACAAAAATCCATGTATTAACTGGTTATCTCCTTCAGGATGTAGAATTCCCACTGAAGCCAACTTTTCTTCCTGTGTTCCTTTTCTTGGGAACTAGATTATGATGACCCCATGAACTTTTCTGAGCTGGGAACCCTGGAGTTTTTTCAACCTCTTCCTCTCAGGCCTGCTGCTCAATAAATTATTGGCTGGCACTGCTTTTGATATTAACACTACATAGTTATGTGGGTGGTATTTGGAGTCATCGGGATTCAAGTTTGTTCCCATTGTGTTTTGGCTGTGTAAAGCTTGTGAAATTTTTTGAAGTTTTCATCTCCAGAATAAATAACAGTACAGGGCATCTTAATTGTGTTGTTGAGAAGGTTAAATGAAATAAATTGTATGTAAATATCTCTTAATATATCCTTAGCTTATAGTATATAAGAAATGTTTTGTTAATACTAGGTTATTTGTATTGTTAGTCTTCTTTTTAACACTGCCTCTACCAATTATTTATGGCCTTTTGCCGCAGTCTGGCTGGGCACGATTCAGGAGCCACTTGTCAAAAGAAACGAACTTTATTTTTAGAACCACACACGCCAAACAAAACAACTCCTCAGGAAAAACCCTCAGAGCCCAACAGCCACCACCGGCTTCCCACAAGCCTCTCACATAAACACAAGCCTCATCACCTCCCACAATCCTCCTGCTCTTGAGGACGATTGGCTGGGTCGCGTGGGCGGAGCCATAAAAGTCCCCCAATGAGCAGCTCCATGGTCTGAAAGGGCGGGGAAACAGCCCAATGAGCATCACCGCAGAGGAGCCAATCAGCTAGATGTTGCTGGGGCCACTGTGAGCCAATCATCAGCCAGCAGCTTGAAGTTTGCTGGGGCCCCTTCGGCTGTGGCTCTCAACATCTCCCCCTCTCTGTTTAAACAACAAGCATGTGGCTTAGGGACTGTGCCTGCCTTAGGTTGTCCAATAGTACATATGGCCCTTACCCGTTATCGGATGGTCAAGGCGTCAGCCTCCTGTCTTAGGTTGGTACCATTGCAATTGGATCTTACCTGTCACTGACTACTGGTCCAGTATACAGCCACACCTGTGGAGAGGTCTTTGTACCAGCAGGGGGGGGTGAGGTTCTTTGCCTCATCTCTGTTGGCCCCCAAATTTTAGCTGAGCGATCACGACAAGCAGAAGGGAGGAAAATACACCAAGCCAATTTATGGCTCCTTTTGGAAAAATTGTTGACGAGAGATGATGCTAAGGTCTGCACCTGTATCCAGTAGCCCATTAAATTCATGTCCTTGAATATTTAGTTTTAACATGGGGTGAGAATCTAAATTTAAAGAAAGCATAGCCCAATCTACACCTATGGAGCCTAATCCCTTGGAACCTCTTTTTGCAGCATGACTGGAAAATTTATCATGTAGGCTTGGTATTATTAGTAACTATGCTATTCTATTTCCTGATGAAATTACTGATATACCCTTTGGATAACTGGCTATAATTTTTATTTCACCTTCATAATTGGGATCAATTACCCCAGGACTTATCATAAGTCCTTTTAGAGTAGAAGAGCTGCATCCCAATAATAAGCCTATTGTTCCTTTGGGAAGAGGTCCTTTTACCCCTGTGGGAATGATTTGAACTCCCATCTCTGGAGTTAGCACTGATCTGGTGGAGGCGCAGATGTCCAACCCTGCACTCCCTCTGGTTTGTCTGATGAGGGATCTGGTGGACAATGTGTCCTGGGCACTACCCTGATGGGGTTGCTGGGTTCCTCCAGTGCTCCATATATTTGTGGTTTTGGGCCCCGGAGCATTGGGCCCCCCTGTCCATTTTTTGGCAACGGAGCCCGATGCCTTTCTCCATGATATTGTG